ATTTAAAAAAGCAAGGGAGTGTGTGCGAGCGAGGGACAGTGAGGGAAGGAGAGAGGCGAGAGAGGAGGAGAGACGGAGAGAGAAAGAGAGGAGTTGTGGAGAATTAATAACAGGCCAGATCTCTCCAAGGCCTCCTTAATGGGCTTTGACAGGAATTTATTCACACTTACGCTGGTATTAAATCAAACGCTGGCCGAGTGGTGACGGCAGGGCTGCAACAGAGAGGCACTGGAGATGGTCCCGGGTCCCCACCCGTATCACGGGGAGGGTACTAACTGTGACACCCCCGTAGGAGCTGGTCATCAGTTAGGATCCGTGGGGGGAAGAAGAGAAGGAAGGATGGAGGAAAGGAAGGAGAGTAGAGGGCGTAGCAGGAGGAGGGAAGGGAAAGAGTGATGGGGAGATGACAGGGCAGCAGCCTCATATCCTCGATGGAATTATTATTTAGTACTCTTGAGCCCAGTGAATCATTATCCGTTCTGCAGAAAACGCAGTCATTCAGGGGTCCTTCTTGGACGGAAAAGGCGACAGATGGGGAAAAGGCGACAGATGGGACGAAAATGCCTGTCCACCAAACATCTTCAGAATTTCAATTCGATAAAGGGATTCGATTGGTCTGTTTTTCATATTCATTGTTTCCTCTCATTAATTGGCGTGAGCACTAATGCAAGGCATTCATTAAGGCTCTAATTTGTGGTCACTTGGGCGCTTCAGAGTTTGTGTTTCTCGTTGGAGCAGAGGAGAGGAAAGCGGAATTGATATGTACAATCACATTCTGCAGTACAAAAGGTCTGCAGCTCAGAGATTGAGCAATCGCAGACCATTAGGTGGCAATTAATTATGGCTAATGCATCTCTCTCTCTCTCCCAATCGACAGATAACGAGAGCAGGCTATCACTCACACACAGGACGACCCATAAAGCAGCAAGACATTACCATGGAGGAGTAATTTATCGTGGAGCTCCTCCAGTGTACCTCCTATAACCTAAAATACTCTTTACCTACCTTTCCTGCTGGGCTGGAGCAAAGACAATCACGAGGGCTAGCCTGGTCCTACATCTGTTCGTTCTGTCCTATGATCATGCCAAACAACGGCCATAGGAATGGGCAAGACAGCACAAACAGATCTGGGACCAGGCTATAGTTGTGTGCCTTCACATCTGTTTGTACTAATAATAATAATAATAATAATAATAATAATAAGCCATTTAGCAGACGCTTTTATCCAAAGCGACTTACAGTCATGTGTGCATAAATTTTTACGTATGGGTGGTCCCGGGGATCGAACCCACTACCCTGGCGTTACAAGCGCCATGCTCTACCAATTGAGCTACAGAGGATATTACTGTATACAGGTGTCAACTATGTGACTTTATTTGAACTTGCCTATCTGGATCTGAAAAGCTTCACTCCAGTATCGTTCCAACTGTCTACATACACTGCATGACCAAAAGTATGTGGACACCTGCTCATCGAACATTTCATTCCAAAATCATGGGCATTAATATGGAGTTGGTCCCCCCTTTGCTGCTATAACAGCCTCCACTCATCTGGGACGGTTTTCTACTAGATGTTTGAACATTGCTGCGTGGACTTGCTTCCATTCAGCCACAGCTCGCAGTCGGCGTTCCAATTCATCCCAAAGGTGTTTGATGGGGTTGAGGTCAGGGCTCTGTGCAGGCCAGTCAAGTTCTTCCACACCAATCAACAAACCATTTCTGTATGAACCTTACTTTGTGCACGGGGGCATTGTCATGCTGAAACATGAAAGGGCTTTCCCCAAACTGTTGCCACAAAGTTGGAAGCACAGAATTGTCTAGAATGTATGCTGTAGCATTAAGATTTCCCTTCACTGGAACTAAGTGGCCTAGCCCTAACCATGAAAAACAGCCCCAGACCATTATTCCTCCTCCACCAAACTTTACAGTTGGCACTATGCATTGGGGCAGGTAGCATTCTCCTGGCATCGACTAAACCCAGATTCGTCCGTCGGACTGCCAAATGGTGAAGCGTGATTCATCACTCCAGAGAACGCGTTTCCACTGCTTCAGAGTCCAATGGCGGCAAGCTTTACACCACTCCAGAGACGCTTGGCATTGCGCATGGTGATCTTAGGCTTGTGTGCGGCTGCTCGGCCATGGAAACCCATTTCATGAAGCTCCCGACGAGCAGTTATTGTGCTGACGTTGCCTCCGGGGGCAGTTTGGAAGTCAGTAGTGAGTGTTGCAACCGAGGACAGACACATTTTACGCGCTACGCGCTTCAGCACTCGGCAGTCCCCTTCTGTGAGCTTGTGTGGCCTACCACTTCGTGGCTGAGCCATTGTTGCTCCTAGAAGTTTCCACTTCACAATAACAGCACTTACAGTTGACCGGGACAGCACTAGCAGGGCAGAAATTTGATGAACTGACATGTTGGAAAGGTAGCATCCTATGACGGTGCCACGTTGAAAGTCACTGAGCTCTTCAGTAAGGTCATTCTACTGCTAATGTTTGTCTATGGGGATTGCATGGATGTGTGCTCGATTTTTAACACCTGTCAGCAGTGGGTGTGGCTGAAATATCCAAACCCACTAATTTGAAGGGGTGTCCACATACTTCTGTATATATAGTACATCTGTCTGTTCTAGTCTTCCATCTTCTCTCTCTTTTTCCTTCAAGGTGTCTCATCTTTTCCTCTCTCTCTTCTAATGGAGAATCCTCTCTGGCTCGATATGGAGACCTTCCCTCCAACATCTTCCCTTTGTCTACATATCTGTCCATCCGGTCATCTATTTGTCTTCTAGATTTTTTCTCTCTCAGTATTCTTTATTTTCCCTTCTTTCTCTCCTCCTCTGGAACGACTGGAATCCTATCTGTCTCAATATGTCTACCCATTCAAATCTCCATTAAAATCTTCAGCCCGTTTCACGTTCTCTGGAATGTTCTCTGGCTCAATATGTACAGTATGTCTTCACACTAAAATCTCCTCTTTATCCATCCGGTCCGGTTATCCATCCATCTTTAGTTTTTCTCTCTCTGTAGCCTCTCTTTTCTCTCTCGTCCTGTGGAATCCGGTATTTGGCTCAATATGTGGTCTGTCTTCACACTAAAATCTTCCCATCTATCCCATCCGGTTACATGTCAACTCTCGTTTCCCATCTCTTTCCCTCCATCTCTTTTCCTTGTGGAATCTGGTATATCTGGCTCTATCTATCTGGCTCAGGTCGTTGCAGCTGAGCCTCCTAAACATCTGTTTTCCACATCACTCCCCTCCTGATGAGTTAACCTCTAACTCCCCAAAACATGTTCTTCTCATCGCAGCTTTAATATTCAGCTGGGCATTTGGGCTCTGAGCAGAGCATTGTGAAGTGAAGAGGGGATGGCTGCTGCAGACATGCAAGTGAAGCTTCTCATTCTCCTTGTTTTTTCTATGTGCCCTGTGGTTTGGGTAGTAACATTGTGGTATGAGCAGCTAAGACGGTAAATGTTCGATTGTCCACTTCACTGTTTGCTCAGTGCTCCCAATTTTAAATGAGTATTTTCATTGTTTTCGTTGCTATATTTTCATCCAGCTCCTGGGCCACGTTTGGACATTCGTAGTTACTCTGCTTTCAATGTATACTGAACAAAAATATAAACGCAACATGCAACAATTTCAACAATTTTACTGAGTTACAGTTCATATGAGGAAATCAGTCAACTGAAATAAATTAATTAGGCCCTAATCTATGGATTTCACATGACTGGGCAGGGGCGCAGCCATGGGTGGGCCTGGGAGGGCATAGGCCCACCCACTTGTGAGCCAGGCCCAGCCAATCAGAATGAGTTTTTCCCCACAAAATGGCTTTATTACAGACAGAAATACTCCTCAGTTTCATCAGCTGTCCGGGTGGTTGTTCTCAGATGATCCCGCAGGTGAAGAAGCCTGATGTGGAAGTCCTGGGATGGTGTGGTTACATGTGGTCTGCAGTTGTGAGACGGTTGGACGTACTGCCAAATTCTTTAAAATGACGTTGGATGCGGCTTATGGTAGAGAAATTAACATTACATTCTCTGGCAACAGCTCTGGTGGACATTCCTGCGGATAGCATGCCAATTGCATGCCCCCTCAATACTTGAAACATCTGTGGCATTGTGTTGTGTGACAAAACTGCACATTTTAGAGTGGCCTTTTATTGTCCCCAGCACAAGGTCCACCTGTGTAATGATCATGCTGTTTATCAGCTTCTTGATATGCCAAACCTGTCAGGTGGATAGATTATCTTGGCAATGGAGAAATGCTCACTAACAGCGATGTAAACAAATTTGTGCGAGATATTTTATTTTAGCTCATGAAACATGGGACCAATACTTCACATTTTGCTTTTATATTTTTGTTCATTATAGTTTGAGCTGGTGTTATGTTTGGATGTGCGTGGTTACTCTCCTTTCAGTGGTGGTATGCTTCATAGCAACATGGTCCAGCTAGAATACTGATATTGATGCTTATGGAAGGTTTGTGTACATGCAGAGGATACACCATTTGTTTGGTATCTGCCTGAGTTGAGTTAAGCTCAGCGCTCACGCCCATGTTTTACTGTAGTAGTTACCTTTAAGAGCAGCGAGGGAGCTAGTGCTCTTAAAAATAACCAATACTCATCCATGACACCCGTGACCTTTCTCCATTATGATTCAGCACACTCAGACAGGCAAGCACGCACACAGGCACACACCCACCATGACTGGGGAGCTAAAAAAAAGCTGCAACACTGGCAAATAATGCATGTTGCAGTTTTTCAAAAACTATTTTCAACAGTCAAAGACAGACTATTAATACGAAAATAAATTACTGTACACAGAGTACTGAGAGTATTGTAGCTTGCGTTTTCACACTATATTTTTCCATTTCTTTTTTTCTCTTTGTAGAATCTGTTTTCTCTCTCTTTTGGCCCATCTCTCTCCTCCTGGAATCCCTATTGGGGTTATCTTTTTATATACAGGGCTGTGCGCTCTAAAGCCCAGTGTACTGTACATTTATATCTAGCTCACCTTGTTAACCTCCAGGATCTCCCTCCTCTCCTCTGTTGCTGGGCGGGCCTGGCTGGCCGAGCGTTCATTGTGTTTGGAGCTGCTGTCGTCTTCCACATAGGGGATGAGTTGCTGTGTGTGTGTGGGGGGTATATAAAAAGATACAATGACCACTGGTGTTCAGTGAGGGGATGGTACATTGATAGTAGTTTGGTACTTTGGCTTGGAAAATACATTTATTGTCTCTTGTCTGTGGCTCCGTTGCAAAAGAGATTACCATTTCAATGGGACTCGCCTGGTTATATAAAGGATAAATAAAACATGAAAAATAAATAAGGCTCATTGGCTTATGTCTCTCATCAAACAAAATAAATAAAAATGGAAATTTCACTAGCCCCTTCTCTAAAAGTCTACTTTATCTATACTGCTTGCATGAGCACTAACTCTCCCTATTGAGCTTGTACAAAGGGATTTCTAGGACATTCGATTCCCTGTTAAAATACTGAATTAGAACTGCCTTCATGTACAGACACTGCTATAATCTTGTCTCCTTAGAGTTGCGAAAATTGGGATTTGGTGTAGATCACGAAAACACTTTAATAATAATCTTTAATCTACAAACAGTTCCATACCACCACCACCATTTCAGAACTAGGACTTCTCCACAGTCCATACCCAAGTTCTTAACTCATTTTAAGCACTCGCTGTGCTTGACGTTGTCTGGCTGACACTACACCGACTGCTGTGCTGAAAACCCTCTCAGAATGCTGAGGTCTTTCCCTCCCTCCCTCCTCGATCTGCCTGGCTGTTCCTCCACTGCTTTAAACCACACTGACACCTGCTGGTCTGCAGGATAATGAGCAGTGCCGTACGGAACACATTGTTCTCTATTGCACTGCATCAAGACCAACACGCTTATCTTAAATGGTACCATTATACTAGCTTTACACTATCGTCTACTGGGTTTCTATTATCATACATAGCTGTGTGAGGTGAGATTGCTTAAACGGTTATGTAGGAACGAGGTAATGATTTGAGAAAAACATAAGATTAGGTACAAGAGGAATAACGATTACCGGCCAACCAAAAGCCTTAGCAGGTGTGAAAACACAGTGAAGTCCAAAACAAATCTGAGGCTGAGTGCTATTCTACATTCTGAATAGCCTAGTTGTTGATTGCGTTTCATTGCAGTCAGTGACCTGAGGTTTAGCAACTGGCAGAGGCCAGTGTAGACAGTGATTGAAGCAGGCTGTGACCAAAGAATTACTGCAGGGCTGAATGGGGCTGGATAGGGCCAGAAGACAGACAGAGACAGAGGCAGGGAGAGAGAATCACATGAGAAAAACAAGAGACAGCTCTGGCAGTTTTCTCTAGTCAGTCAGAGAGACCGATGCCAAACCCAAAGCTGTCTGATTCGTGTTAGAGAGAAGACAGAAGACGTGCTGGATATTATATTAGGCCAACTCTGTGATTGTTAGGGGCGTAGAGTCCAAAAAGTATTAGAGAGAAAAAAACTTTTTCTACTTCCATAATTCCAGCTATGAGCCAAACGCATTTTGAATTTAAAGGTAAGAGCTGTTTTTGGCAGTCGGAAGGGGGAAAATGTGCAGGGGTAGAGAGAGAGGGGGCGAGCGAGAAAGAGTGTGTGTGTGTGTGTGTGTGTCTCTGTGACTGTACGTGTGAGTTATAACCCCTCTCTCTCCTCCATACGAGGATGGATGTGGTTTGCCTGTTGACAGAGAAGAATGGGGGTAATTAAGTTCTCCAGGTTGCCTTACTTAGAGAGGGGGAACGAAATAGGGAGAAGAAAGAAGAAGAAAAATAATGCGTGGAGGATAAGTAAATTAAATGACATGGCCGCTCACAGTGCAGGAAATGCCAAAGAACGACGAGGGCTCAGTTGATTGCCTGGCTCGGGGAGAAAACAGAAAACCGCTGACGTGGGCAGCCTTCGCCAGCTGTTCATTACCAGGCCTGCTGCTAATTAGGAACGTGATGAGGTCACGCTGGCTGAGTCATTGATTCCACTTCCTGTTTGGGGAAAGCCCGTTCAGCGGCTAGCCAATAGCACGACTGTCAGGATTGCGGCCGGCCAATAGCAGGCTTGTCAGCCACTTGAGTTTTAGGGGATGATAAATAGCAGTGTCAGGAGGGCCAAAATCAACTTCCTCCAAACAACATGGTGTGGTGAGGTATTGGTTGGTCAGCACAGTCAGTGGTTTGCACAGCCTCTGGGAATATGTAAACATTTTAAATGAACTGGTACAACTGTGGAGTGTAATGGACAGTGAGGTTTACATATGACCAGAATTGCAAATTATATTTGTCACTTTTCCCTCATGAGAGAGAAATACAGCAAGCCAGTATGCCATATGGGCAATTCCACATTAACGGAATTACGCTGAGACGCTGATTTTTCACATGAAAATGTCTGCCAAACAAAAAACATTGATTTCAAAGTTGAACAAACCATACAACTCTACTCTACTTTGAACAATTTACACAGTAAATCAAACATTTACTGAAAAAACTGTGCTGATGCAAAGTTTGGTAACAAAATGACAGTAGGCCTCCCGAGTGGCGCAGCGGTCTAAGGCATCACTACAGATCCGGGTTCGATCCCGGGCTGTGTCGTGACCGGGAGAACCATGAGGCGGCACACAATTGGCCCAGCGTCGTCCGGGTTAGGCTGGCCGGGATGTCCTTGTCCCATCGCGCTCTAGCGACTCCTTGTGGCGGCCGGGCGCATGCACGCTGACTTGGGTCGCCAGCTGTACGGCGTTTCCTCCGACACATTGGTGCGGCTGGCTTCCGGGATAAGCGAGCAGTGTGTCAAGAAGCAGTGCGGGGTTGTGTTTCGGAGGACGCATGGCTCTCGACCTTCGCCTCTCCCGAGTCCGTACAAGAGTTGCAGCGATGGGACAAGACTGTAACTACCAATTGGGGAGAAAAAGTTTTATCCTGTTACCAAACCTTGTATCTGCACAGTTCTTCCTGTAAATGTGTTTTTGTTAAATATGGTTTTGTTTGGTATACATTTTAAAGTGAAAAATGGGAGTCTCAGTATAATTCCTTTACCTTGGACTTTCTCATATGTTTAACGCAAAATGCCTCCGTCAGATGTAAGAAAAGCCTAATTAAATGTGTGCATGCAGTCAGTTCTAAAACATTGGATTAAAACCAAATGGCTCCAAACCAATAGGAGAAAAGACTGCAACAATAAAACAGTGGAATCGCCCAGCATGAGGTCTGAAACAGTAGCCACCCCAGTAACTCAGTAAGATAAAGTGGTGGGTTTTTAGAGGTGGGTGGGTGTCCATAACAGCCACTAAGGGGCAAACACAGAGCACCATTGAATTGAATGTAGAGCTGAGCCGAGGACTGCGTCCCAAATGGAAACATATTCCCTGTATAGAGCACTACTTTTAACCAGAGCCTGGTCAAAAGTAGTGCACTATATAGGGAATATGGTGTGCCGAGGTAGACCTGCCGAGGTAGACCTGACAGAGTGGGAGAGATAAGAATCGCCCAGGCACCAAGTAAATGATGTCCAGTTCAAACTGGTTAGATATTGATTGTGATACACAGAGTGGTTCTGGGACAGTGGCCACTCACCTCTGGGGGTACAGGGTCCAGACCAGTGCAGTTTTCATTGCATTTGTCATAGACGAGGCGCAGCTTGCGGAAGAGTACAGAGAGCATACGCAGGTGCTCCTGCAGTTTGCTCAGTCTGTCCTGGTGGGTGTTGGGGTGGTACGTCACTCCATTTGGCAGCTGGGGGAGATGACATAGGAAATAAGTGTGTTACATACTCTTTTAGTAATGTAATAACATTTTAATAATATCTACAGGCCAATACAGGGCCTCCTATTTACTCCTTGACTAGTCCCTCCTTGACTACTGGTAATCAGTGTGTGATTACTCAAATGTTTATGGTGGTAACTGAAGTGTAGAGGGTTTGTAAAATTGAATTATTGCAATGTAGACTAAAAAACGGTTTTAAATTGATTCATTTTACTGTGCTGTTACATGGCATTCCACCGAGAGGAGAAGTTACATATAACTACATGATATGTATATAACTTAAAACTGCTTCGGACTGTTTCACCTGAGCTTTATGCTAACTAACTTTAGCTTTAGGCACTTCTAACTGATAATTTCAACTGAGCTTTAATGCTAACTAGCTTTAGGCGCTTTTAACTGATCGTAAACATCCTGTACAGCCTGAAACGATTCCCTGCATGAGGGTAGGTGAGTTGTATACCTGTATACATGCCTACAGGAGTGATCTTTTTTTCACACACAGTCTGTGATCAGTGAAACAAGTCACAACAGTGCTGTTTGTGCATTCTGTGGCGAGTCAGTGTGGCTTGTGGTAATGCATTCTTCTTTTGTCTTTGACTGTCTCGGTTGTTGTTTTAATGAGTTGAGGAAGGATCTTCTCTGAGACACAGACAGAGAGAGACAATGTCTGACTATGTCCCAAATGGCACCCTTTTCCCTATATAGTGCACTACTTTTGACCAGAGTCCTAGTATGGGCCCTGGTCAAAAGTAGTGAACTACATAGGCAATAGGGTGCCATTTAGGACGCACCCAACCTGTCCTGAACTCATCTTCAGGGCACAGTCTGATCTTTCCAATGTGTCAACAGAAGGGCGAAAAGCGGTATAAACAGATGGTGACTGTCTAATGATAAAATGGAGGCCTTTACATACCCAATTATATCATCCTCCATGTTTAAAAACAAGTGTGAAACAGGATTGGGACATGCCTTCCTAGGGCAATAATTAAAGCTGGCTTAGTTGGCCTAGCTTTCTGCTCGTAGGCCCATACCCATCCATTCTCACCACAAAGCAGAGGGACAATGCATGTCATATTGTGTTACTGTTATTTGATATCACTGTGGGGAGAGAGAGGGATATTTATTTGGTTCAACAGACTCCAACCAGTGCCACACAATTTTTACCTCTTGGATGACAGTCAATCAATGTTGTGCTGTCAGTTTATGTAATGCTGTCGGTCTGGGGTCAAATGAAGCTGAATCGGTGTGTGAGTGTGCGTGCGTTGCGTAAAATGGAAGAGGAGCACATGCAAACAATGCTTTGCGTGTAATAAAGGTGGTTGACAGACCAGCACCATCCATAATCAAAGGCAACCCATGAACTTTGTTCAGCCTTTACACCCACCCCAACACAAAAAGTCACAAGAAACACTCACCTGCATGTTCCTCAACAGCTGGAAGATCTCCATGGTGCGTAAGACGATATCCTGCACCGTCTCCTGGCCGATGCGACAGAGCGATGCCGTGTTGACATCACGGGCAGCCTGAGCCTGCTGCCCGGCGAACGCCTCCATGGGAGGGGTGGTCATGTAGACAGCAGATGACCTGAAGGTGCAGCGAGGGGTCAGCCTATTCTACACTGTTACACCTTGGCATGCTTGGTCGTATGATATTGGAAGGATGGACAAGGGAAAGGTTGGGGATAGAGGGAGAGAAAGGGAGAGGGAGAGAGAGCAGGGGAGACAGGGAAAGAGAAACAGACTGGTTAATTTCTTGATGTTACATTCCCAATGATATGAGTTGATAAATAAATGAATGAATAAATGAACACTATTGTTCCCAGACAAATTTCCTTATGTGACAATTATTTATTTATCCAAAATTAATTGCAAGCTATTTATGTCCAAGCTTCACGTTAACCATAACCCTTATTTAGTCCATCAGCCAGTTCCATACTCAAAAGAATACAAAAAGTGCCAGTGAAGAGTGAAATAAAGTGCTAAACAAAAATGAGTGTTCTCTTTTTGTTTAGCACTTTATTGCACTTTGCACTAGCAATTGTTGTATTTTTATTAATGTATGGAACTCAATTATAAATATTTTTGCATCTCAGTCTCTTTGGTTTTTCCTTTTTATGTTTATTTTGTTTTTATGGTTTGTGTGCGATCACCTGTTGAAACCCTAGAACTTACCTATCTATATCTATCTATTTCTTATCTTAACTAATGTAAAAGAAACACAGGAGCAGTCATTAAAGTTATATTTTTTTTATTGAAAATAAGGCAGGCAGCAGTTTTCCCAGGCCTCCACCCTGAAGGCCCGCTCTGAGGAAGATCTCACCTTCTTTCTCTGGTAGCTGCGAAACCTCTTCCAGGCTGAGACCTTTGCCAGCAAAAGCCTTGCAGCCCTCAGGCTTTGAGGCAGTCTCTTTGACGCTGCCAAGTTCATCTCTCAGAGGGGAGGCCACAGTTGCTGTCTGCTCCTCATCTTTGCTACTCCCCATGGTGCTGAAGGTAGGCCGCGATATAGGGACTCCTCCCTGCAGGACGAACTCCTCTTCGCACATGGGGAAAATAGCAAAGGGCCAGTAGTCTCCACTATCACAGTAGGGATCAGCCTCCTCCTTTCCCCATGCAGACTTGGGTAGGGGTAGAAGAGACCCATCACCTTCCTCTTTTTTTTACTAGTGACCATAGGTCCATGGCATAATAGTCTACAAACTGAGGCTCTAGTGAACTGTAAGTCATGATTATTAGATTAATAATAACAATCAAGGTGCAGCTACTGTAGAAGGTGCAACTGAAGTTGAATGACCTTAAAAGGATACGTTTTAGTTTTACAACCAAATCTACATTTTTGATATGAATGTCATGTCATAGAAAGGTCCAGACACCTTTTTTGTGATTTCACTTGATTTTGTGAAACTTACCCCAAACAGAAAATCACTTCCTCATCCTCGTTGTGTAGTATGGGGGCCCTGAATTTTTTTTAACCATGACTCCAAAAACACCCAAATACTGTACTTCCTTTTAGAAATGGCTAAGCTCTCAGTATAGTGATAGGGGAAACGTCTCGAGTCGCACAAATGGGAATATAACGTTGCGGATAACGTTCAGAATGACACAATTTTCTGTGCACAACATCTAAAGACCCGCATCACTATACTGATGGCGTTGCCGTTTCTAAAAGGACGTATTTGGGTGTTTCTGGGCCCCCTATACTAAACAATGAGGATGATGAAGTGATTTGCTGTTTGTGGTAAGTGTCTCAAAAACAAGTGAAATCACAAAAAAGGTGTCTGGACCGTTCTATAACATACCATTTACATAAAAAAATGTAGATTTGGTTGTAAAAATAAATAAATGTATCCTTGAAATAAATAAATGACATCATAAGCCAAAATGAATGAAGATGCAAAAATGTATGAGTAACAAAACTGCATACCTTTTTAAAATGAGGTCATAAGCCATAATTTATGACGCGATAATGCATGAGTAACAAAGCAGCATAACATGACCACATGCATTAGAACAGCCTGGTAAGTGAACTAACTGTATATAGTAAATTTCTGGAAGGCATTAACACTTACATCAGTATAACCTGACAGTACAGTAATAGCCACATGTGATCTCTATGCATTGTATCTGCAACGTTGCACCCCAACTTACTAAACCACAGTTGATGTAATAACGTTTTTTTTAGCTAGATGGCTAAAATTGCTGGCTACAGTAGGTTAGCTAGCTAACGTTAGCTAGCTAGCAAGCTGTTAGCAAACGAGACGATAGTTATTGTCTTAGTATGCATTTGTCCTCTTGCTATACAAAACAAAACGTTCCCTTTGGCGCTTTTCATATTGTCCAAATGACTAACCACGCAAGACGTAAACTTACCTGTGTTGCTAGCTAGTATTAATTTATCTTATTTGTTGACATCTGTCAAGTCCTTTTTCTCCAGGATCTCGCAACTGTCAAACATCGCGAGACCTTACACTGAGTATGTATCTCAACCGTAAAGCATGAAATATGAGCGTTTAATTAAAGATAGACTCCTTAGTTGCTAGCTACATGACTTATACCCATTGATTATTGAAGAATATAATACATATCTCATGAGCTCAGTTTAACTGTCGTACCCCATCAGAACACAAAATATAACAAGCTTGTTATACTCCAATGTTTGTAAACAAAGTAAATGTAAACAAACACTGTACATCCTCAAAACATGGTTAAAACTATAATTTTGATATCATGGATGGTCAGTGCTTCCATAAAGAGCTCTTAAATTACATTTCTCCAAGGCCATATCCCTCAGCTTTCTATCAAAACATAGACGAGGTGACGCTTTGTTATTTTTTCAATTAAGGATTCCATCTTTAATTTTTTTTTATTATTGTTGCTGCCATTGATTGCACTGAAATATATTGATGACTACGAATATAACACCAACTCTAAGACAAAAATATGTTGTCATTATCTTACAACAGATACAGTATGTACATCAAATATAGGTGTTTAATACCTCACTCATGGTGTTACGGTAGAACAGAGCTCAACTGCAAGTTCAGCTGTGTGAAAGCGACACCTGGTGGTCATTCTGCGATCAACACTACCCAGTATAATTTATCTATGTACCCTCTTTGGTCTGTTTGAACCTTTTGGTGAAGTGGCTTACTGTATTTGTATAAGATTTAGCTGGATCATCCCTAATGTGTCATGTGTCATTATAATCTCCCTCTTTGGATAAAAAAAACCCACCATTCAAACTTGTGTGAGCCCCTAAAGCTACGTTATTAAAGATACACTGGACAAAAACTATAATAGGATCACCTTTTGGTAGGTTTCCTGTCCTTTTAACATTCATTACTCGGCACAGACTGCTTTGTGAACTATCTTTATTTAAATTAAAGTATGAAGCACAACATGCACTTGAAATAGATACTTACTCATCCTGTGCGCCCTGCCGTGCTAAATTGCTGCTCTGAGTGATAAGGGGAATAGAGAGGGTTTTATTGAAAAAATGAAAGGCTTCTTCTGCCTTCAGGCTTGACTGAAGCTAGAATATAATGCCTATTACTTTATTTCCATTATTCATTCAAATTTGGGGTTATACGGCTACAGGATGGATTTAAATGTCAATGTATCTAGTGTGGGAGGCTGAGGGGTAATAGTAAACCTTGAGACAGGTTTTATTTTCTTCTCCAAAGCCCTCTGTTTAAGCTGCTGACACAGAAACGGACACAGAAACGCCATGTCAGTTCACTTGGCTGCAGACAACTTCTTAAATGTGATAGGCTACTGTATTTAAGATGAGAGATTTGCTCTATGACACACATATTCTAACCACTTAGAAGCTTCTTAAATTTAAGATCGCTGACATTGATGACCTTGGTGTGATGCCAGGGTGTACAGTACAGTATTGGGCAATATCACCTCCACCAAACCAGCAGAGAGCCTCAACAATGGACAGATTGAAGGCCCCAGAGTGTTGGAAGGGAAAACTCCCAGTGAGGGGAGAGGAAACATGAACCGTATAATGACTGCAGAGGGATATCAGGCTAAATCGGATTATCTACCGTACTCAGCCGTCGCGTGCTTTAATTAAAAACACTATGATCTTGTTCCTCCAGGGTTGGGTTCAGGAGGGGAAGAGTGCACAATAGTCTGCTCCGAGGGTACCATCCAAAGTCCATTCAGCATCTCACAGCTCCCACTTCAACCAGGACAGTGTCTCACGTTGAAGAGGATTAAAGGAGAGAATGGACCAAGGTACAGACAGGGAGAGAGATAATATACTGTAGGAGTAGGGCTAAACCGCACAGTTCTGTGCCCCTCTGCGTCGTGTGCAATCCTGTGCGAATTTCAGCCCTACAGTGAATGCCAAAGCAGCAGCCGTGGAATAAAAGGCTTAGCTTTCTCTATGTGTGAGTCTCTGTGTGTGTGTGTGAGCTGAGTAGAGTGGGGTGCAAAGTGTGTGTGAGAGAGCAATGTAGAGCAGACTAAAGAAGGGTGCAAAGAGGATGGGGTGCAGATACTGCCAGGAGTCAGCTGGTTTCACGGAAACACAATCCATCAATCAGAAGTTAAACACACACACACTGCACTAATCTGCTGAGTCATGCTCACACAGCCCACAGAGTGGAGTGCAAAGCCATAGGTTAAATGTTTATCCACTCACACATTCTAGAGAGCTTGTGATAGCCATGCTGAAATGGTTTGCTACAACAAAACAAGTTAGCTGTGAAATCATAATTACACAAAATAACTTATAGCCTTAAGAAATATATATATATTTTATTTTTTAAATGGACACAATCACTCACTCACTCTCCCTTCCTTAATTTACTTATTCTACAAGTTTCAAATACCCCCTAATAACTGTCAGTACACTGACACTGAACCTTCCCCCTGGGTACATTTGATCAATTAACGTTGTCAGGCTCCGATTTTCGACAGACTGATTGAAGTCTCCCTTAAGGGAGGGTGAGGCCAAACCAGAGAGGTGTATATGCTACTGAGTGGCGCAGCGATTTAAGGCACTACATTTCAGTGCTTGAGGCGTCACTACAGACCCCCTGGTTCGATTCCAGGCTGTATCACAACTGGCCGTGATTGGGAGTCCCATAGGGCAGCGCACAATTGGCCCAGCGTTGGCCAGTGTAGGCCGTCATTGTAAATAAGAATTTGTTCTTAACTGACTTGCCTAGTTAAATAAAGGTTAAATTAAATAAAATTAAATAAATACTGGGCCAGTAACACTAAGGGACCCTTGAGACCCAAGATGGCTGAACCATTGCATTGACAGCCAACAGCTGCACCAGACTGGCTGAAGGTCGAGGAGGGGAATGGGAAACTGTTATTAAAAGGGATCAAGGTGTGCAAAGAGACAATGGATCCACTGAGTGCTGTGTTGCTGAGCTATCCTTGTCAGGAACTATGGCAAAAGGGCAAACAGGATTATTGACAACAGTAGATTTTATTCAAAGCAGTATTTTAAATATAAGGACGGTTTTGTTCTCTTAATTATTAGCATCTAACACTGTGCGGTTTCATCTAATTTTCTTTCAACAATACAGTGACCAGCATTTTGATGTAGACACTTAAATCATTAAGCAGTCAAATTACATTTTAAACTGTGTACTTACAGTAAGACAAACATATATAAATATATGGTGCAACACTTTTCGAGCCTGTGATCAGCTATGGCACTCCATCCCTGATCTCTTCAATTTTTACTTCTTTGGGAATGTTGGCACAGAAACACTTTCTTGTGACTGTAGAATGACCACCTCAGGTTACAGAGATAAACAAACTAACCACACAACAAAGGGGTAAACTACAAAGCAGGATCAGTGAGTTAGCCAGCTATCTTTGATAAACAACCCCAAATAACTTATTGATTTTCTGGTTAATGAAGAAATGTAAATGAGGCTAGCCATTTATCTAAACTTGTAGTAATCATGGTCGATTTTATTAAAAACGGCTATATCCCATGGCAGAATGTGTAGAATTGCAGGAAATTAACTCTAAGGGCTGTATTTTAACAAACCTAACACAATAGTCAATTTATGCGTTGGCGGTAGCGCTATAGATTCGGGTGTGTGTCCAAAATACTTGTGTATATAGGTCCTGGATGGCAGGAAGCTTGGCCCCAGTGATGTATTGGCCGTACGCACTACCCTCTGTAGCGCCTTACGGTCAGATGCCGAGCAGTTGCCATACCAGGCGGTGACGCAACCGGTCAGGATGCTCTCGATGGTGCAGCTGTAGAACTTTTTGAGGATCTGGGGACCCATGCCAAATCTTTTCAGTCTCCTGAGGGGGAAAAGGTGTTGTCGTGCCCTCTTCACGACTGTCTTGGTGTGTTTGGACCATGATAGTTTGTTGGTGATGTGGACACCAAGGAACTTGAAACTCTCGACCCGTTCCACTACAGCCCCGTCGATGTTAATGGGGGCCTGTTCGGCCCACCTTTTCCTATTGTCTACGATCAGCTCCTTTGTCTTGCTCACATTGAGGGAGAGGTTGTTGTACTGGCACCACATTGCCAGGTCTCTGACCTCCTCCCTATAGGCTGTCTCATCGTTGTCGGTGATCAAGCCTACCACTGTTGTGTCGTCAGCAAACGTAATGATGGTGTTGGAGTTGTGTTTGGCCACGCAGTCGTAGGTGAACAGGGAGTACAGGAGGGGACTAAGCACGCACCCCTAAGGGGCCCCAGTGTTGAGAATCAGCGTGGCAGATGTGTCGTTGCCTACCCTTACCACCTGGGGCGGCCCGTCAGGAAGTCCAGGATCCAGTTGCAGAGGGAGGTGTTTAGTCCCAGGGTCCTTAGCTTAGTGATGAGCTTTGTGGGCACTATGTTGCTGAACGCTGAGCTGTAGTCAATGAACAGCATTCTCACATTGGTGTTCCTTTTGTCCAGGTGGTAAAGGGCAGTGTGGAGTGCAATTGAGATTGCGTCATCTGTGGATCTGTTGGGGCAGTATACGAATTGGAGTGGGTCTAGGGTATCCGGGATGATGGTGTTGATGTGATCCATGACCAGCCTTTCAAAGCACTTCATGGCTACCGACGTGAGTGCAACAGGGCGGTAATCATTTAGACAGGTTACCTTCGCTTCCTTTGGGCACAGGGACTATGGTGGTCTGCTTGAAGCATGTAGGTATTACAGACTCGGTCAGGGAGAGGTTGAAAATGTCAGTGAAGACACTTGCCAGTTGGTCCACGCATGCTTTGAGTACACGTCCTGGTAATCCGTCTGGCCCTGCGGCTTTCTGAATGTTGACCTGTTTAAAGGTCATGCTCACATCGGCTACCGAGAGCGTTATCACACAGTCGTCCGGACAGCTAGTGCTCTCATGCATGCTTTAGTGTTGCTTGCCTCGAAGCGAGTATAAAAGGCATTTAGGTCGTCTGGTAGGCTCACGTCACTGGGCAGCTCAAGGCTGCGTTTCCCTTTGTAGTCCGTAATAGTTTTCAAGCCCTGCCACATCCAACGAGCGTCAGAGCCGGTGTAGTAGGATTAAATCTTAATCCTGTATTGACGCTTTGCCTGTTTGGTGGTTCATCTGAGGGCGTAGCGGGATTTCTTATAAGCGTCCGGATTAGTGTCCCGCTCCTTGATAGCAGCAGCTCTAGCCTTTAGCTCGATGCGGATGTTGCCTGTAATCCATGGCTTCTGGTTGGGATATGTACGTACGGTCACTGTGGGGACGACGTCGTCGATGCACTTATTGATGAAGCCGATGACTGAGGTGGTATACTCCTCAATGCCATTGGATGAATCCCGGAACATATTCCAGTCTGTGCTAGCATGAATGGCATGGACACATGTAGCCTATACCATGGAAGGAGTTTTACGCACGTCCAAAGCATGGCTAAAATAATATAAGCCTGCCTACAATACATAGATAAAAAGGGAACGTCAGCTCACTGTTTTTCTCCTCTTTAACTTGGTACAGTATTTTAATAAAGCTTTGGTGAATAAGATTTATTTCCAAGCAGTCTCACGAGCAAAACACTTTATCAACGGTCTTGACTAGCCTACTTGATTACATTGGGCAGGACAAAAAGAAAACAGCCTTCATTGAGAGGAAGGGAGGTTATGCTTGGTTTTTAATCAAATAAAACAAAATGGGGAAAGAACTTTAGTGTTTTATGTTTCTAAATACGAAGTATACAGGCACCAAATCCCATCTTGTTCCATGCGCTTAAGGGCAGTGTGCATCACGGCTGGATAGGCTGACTTTCCGCTGTCAAAATTCCTGCCATAACCAACTGCGTTACCGCTTTAAACCAGCTTTTGGTTGGTCTTAAATATCCCTACCAGTGCTGCCTGAAATTAGCACTTTGGATCATGTTTTTAAGGGCAAGCCTAAAATATTTCCACTCCTCCCATCTGAGCGCAAGCGTACTGATGTTAGACAGGTAAATTGCCAAACCTGGCGTTAGGGCGGGAAAATGCCAGGCCGCCAGTTTTTTACATGACGAAATTGCAAACTAACGTGCGTATGACACTAGCGCATCCTTAACGCCAGCCGAAAACAGAGCCCTAAAACTTCAATTTTTTCTCTCCGCTGTCAAGAGCAAGTTAGCTGGCTAAGTCATTGAACCTGCTTTGTAGTATACCCCACTGGTCCAATATCCATGATAGATCAGCCAAAAGCAGTGCTTGAAGTGGACTGAAATATGTGCCGGTACTCATCCAGGGACACTGGACAATAAAGTTGGGTGCTGTTTATATTAAGGTGCCGGAACGCCGCAATATTTTAAGCCAATATTCTATAAAAGGTGTAGGAACTCAAGCTGTAGAAATGTGAGGTGCGAGAAATCAGTTACAATATGTTCCTGGTCAAGTCAAGCACTGGCCAAAAGACTGTGACTGGCTACAACTAAATCCTGGTTAGGTAGCTTAATTTAGCCTCATTCCTCTGGGCTCCTGGCCTCTCCCATGGACTTAAACGTCTACATTTTGGGATCCTCACACAGGCTACACCCAGGCTTCTGGTCGGCCTGTTGTTCCAGCTGTAAGGTGACTGAATGGAAGTTGTAGTTGGAGAAGCAGGTTTGGGTCATCTCCCTTAGGACTGACTGGGCATCCACTACGTCATCTGTGGTGGGAAAGGAAATGCAACTATGATGACACTGACCAACTCACAATTTTGCAAGTCACTACGGTCTGATCAAGTCACATGCAGTGCACACATATAGTGGAAACAGCAGTGGTATTTCCACAGAAAGTTTCATACTGTATGATGTATGACAAACAACAAAATGTGTCATGGATACAATAAAGCCATCATCATCATTATATATGGGAGTTGTAACATAACAGTAGGTTACTGACAGCCTGGTCCAGCTATACTCACCAATAGCCACGTGTGCTGACAGCAAAGTCTGGTTCATAGTCAGGGCCCAGATATGTAGGCTATGGACAGACTTCACCCCCTTCACTGCCAGCAGCCGATCCCGCACCTCACCGTGCTTCACTCCAGCTGGGGTACCTGGGGAGAAATAGAGAGGGAGACAGGGAGGGAAAGAGAGAGAGAGATATGGATTTCATTACATGCAAAAACACACACACAGAGATTAGAGACACAGAGGGATTAGGCACAAAAGTTGGGCAACTTTTATGCCCACAAAAGTTTTAGTCATGTTGCAATCATCAACTCTTGCACAAATCATATCCTCATGGCTGATGTCCCTATAAGTCATTCCTAGTCTACAATAAGACGTCCACTTTGACATAATCCCGAAACAGGGGCGATAGAGAAAACTACCTTCCATGAGGACAAGCAGGATGTCTCTCATAATTGTGATGGTGGTTCCCAGGACAAATATGGAAAACAGGAATGTACAGATAGGGTCAGCTATCTTATACTCGGGCTGTGGGAAACAAAGAGAAAGAGAAAGAGAGAGTAAGGACCATAATCATTACATTGTCATTACATTTCCCCCCAATATATTTAACTTGAGCTAAAATACATACTTGTGGTAGAGCACACATGGGAAATCTATGATGTCTCTATCTCAAGTTAATGAACGTTTGTGCTTGTACAGCATCACAAAAGGGATCATTCTATTGAGAATTGCCTCCTAGCAATATCAGTTAAAAAAAATACATAATTCTCTAGTATTGGAGTTACAGTGCCTTGCAAAAGTATTCACCCCCCTTGGCGTTTTTCCTATTTTGTTGCATTACAACCTGTAATTTAAATTGATTTTTATTTGGATTGCATGTAATGGACATACACAAAATAGTCCAAATTGGTGAAGTGAAATTAAAAATATAACTTGTTTCAAAACATTCTAAAAAATAAATAACGGAAAAGTGGTGCGTGCATATGTATTCCCCCCTTTGCTATGAAGCCCCTAAATAAGATCTGGTGCAACCAATTACCTTCAGAAGTCACATAATTAGTTAAATAAAGTCCACCTGTGTGCAATCTACACTACCGTTCAAAAGTTTGGGGTCACTTAGAAATGTCCTTGTTTTCGAAAGAAAATCATTTTTTTTGTCCCATTTAAATAACATCAAATTGATCAGACATACAGTGTAGACATTGTTAATGTTGTAAATGGCTATTGTAGCTGGAAACTGCTGATTTTTTTGGGAATATCTACATAGGCGTACAGAGGCCCGTTATCAGCAACCATCAGTCCTGTGTTCCAATGGCACGTTGTGTTTGCTAATCCAAGTTTATCATTTTAAAAAGCTAATTGATAATTAGAAAACCCTTTGGCAATTATGTTAGCAGAACTGAAAACTGTTGTGCTGATTAAAGAAGCAATAAAACTGGCCTTCTTGAGACTAGTTGAGTATCTGGAGCATCAGCAATTGTGGGTTCGATTACAGGCTCAAAATGGCCAGAAACAAATAACTTTCTATTGAAACTCATCAGTCTATTCTTGTTCTAAGAAATGAAGGCTATTCCATGCGAGAAATTGCCAAGAAACTGAAGATCTCGTGCAATGCTGTGTACTACTCCCTTCACAGAACAGCGCAAACTGTCTCTAACCAGAATAGAAAGAGGAGTGGGAGGCCCCGGTGCACAACTGAGCAAGAGGACAAATACATTAGAGTGTCTAGTTTGAGAAACAGACGCCTCACAGGTCCTCAACTGGCAGCTTCATTAAATAGTCCCTGCAAAACACCAGTCTCAACGTCAACAGTGAAGAGGCGACTCCGGGATGCTGACCTTCTAGGCAGAGTTGCAAAGAAAAAGCCATTTCTCAGACTGGCCAATAAAAACAAAAGATTAAGATGGGCAAAAGAACACAGACACTGGACTTTTTCTTTGCAACTCTGCCTAGGTCAGCATCAATCCAATTGAGAATCTGTGGTATGACTTAAAGATTGCTGTACACCAGCGGAACCCATCGAACTTGAAGGAGCTGGAGCAGTTTTGCCTTGAAGAATGGACAAAAATCCCAGTGGCTAGATGTGCCAAGCTTATAGAGACATACCCCAAGAGACTTGCAGCTGTAATTGCTGCAAAAGGTGGCTCTACAAAGTATTGACTTTGGGGGGGGGGGGGGGGGGGGGGGGGGGGGGGTGAATAGTTATGCACGCTCAAGTTCATTTTTTTTGTCTTATTTCTTGTTTGTTTCACAATAAAAAATATTTTGCATCTTCAAAGTGGTAGGCATGTTGTGTAAATCAAATGATACAAACCCCCAAAAAAATCAATTTAAATTCCAGGTTGTAAGGCAACATAATAGGAAAAATGCCAAGGGGTGTGAATACTTTCGCAGTAGATTTCAGTGCCTAAGGAGGTGCATGCTCAGCACATGAAGATTTTGAGAGATTATCACACACAGAAAGGAAGAGGGGGAAGAGTCTAAAGGTCACACTGGGCTTGCTGTGAAATGAACAGTAAACTACTGTAACAGAGCAGTCCATTGTGTACTGCAGTGATACTTAATTCATTTGTCAAGAGGGTCATTTTTGCAGCCTCGGCAGCACTATTTGGGCTGTGACATGTTGTTTGTTTCATTCTAATGCAATGAGTATTGAGCTATCTAAATGACCAGGTCAAAATGACATCTTACAAAATCCAGGAAGAGTGTGTCAACACTAACATCCGCCTGATCCTTATCTAACATGCCCATTGTGCCTCAGCCCTAATCTTCTCACCCCATCGCCCTCTCCACCCCAGTTGACCACTATCTCCCCCAACACCCCAGTTTGACCACTACCTCCCACATGACCCCAGTTGACCACTACCTCCCACATGACCCCAGTTGATCAATCTCTCCCATGTCACCCCAGTTGACCTCTGACCACTGACCTTGAAGAAGATGATTATGGCGCTGACCAGCACGCTGATGCTCTGGAGCAGGTCTCCCACGACATGCACAAAGGCGGCGCGCACGCTGGCGTTGGCCTGAGGTCGCGACCCCGCCGACTTCTGCTGCTGACCGTCCACCCCACCGTGCTGCTCCACGTCGCCATTTCCATGGGAATGGTTTTCTTGGTTACCGTTACTGTGTGAGTGGTTGCTCTTGTGGCTGTGCCCATGCCCATCGCCCGCCGCGTGGCTGTGCCCATGGTTGCCCTTGTCGTTAGTGCCGTGGCTGTGGCCGTGCCCGCTGCTGAGGCCCCCGTGACTGTGCCCATGCCCAGATTGGTGCAGGGTAAAAGCCATACTGCCCACAGGACATTCAGAAAGACATAACATATTAAAAGCGTTGTTATTAGGCATTATAAATGCTCATATATGCTTACAACATGTTATGAAGCATTATACATGGATGCTTCAAGCTGTGGAAGATACACTACCGTTCAAAAGTTTGTGGTCACTTAGAAATGTCCTTGTTTTTTGGAAAGAAAAGCAATTTTCTTGTCCATTAAAATAACATCAAATTGATCAGAAATACAGTGTAGACATTGTTAATGTTGTAAATGGCTATTGTAGCTGGAAACGGCTGATTTTTTATGGAATATCTACATAGGCGTACAGAGGCCATCAGCAACCATCAGTCCTGTGTTCCAATGGCACGTTGTGTTTGCTAATCCAAGTTTATCATTTTAAAAGGCTAATTGATCATTTAAAAAACCTTTTGCAATTATGTTAGCACAGCTGAAAACTGTTGTGCTGATTAAAGAAGCAATAAAACTGGCCTTCTTGAGACTAGTTGAGTATCTGGAGCATCAGCAATTGTGGGTTAGATTACAGGCTCAAAATGGCCAGAAACAAATAACTTTATTCTGAAACTCGTCATTCTATTATTTTTCTGAGAAATGAAGGTTATTCCATGCGAGAAATTGCCAAGAAACTGAAGATCTCGTACAACGCAAACTGGCTCTAACCAGAATAGAAAGAGGAGTGAGAGGCCCCGGTGCACAACTGAGCAAAAGGACAAATACATGTCTAGTTTGAGAAACAGACATCTCACAGGTCCTCAAATGGCAGCTTCATTAAATGGTACCCACAAAACACCAGTCTCAACGTCAACAGTGAAGAGGCGACTCCGGGATGCTGACCTTCTAGGCAGAGTTGCAAAGAAAAAGCCATATCTCAGACTGGCCAATAAAAAGAAAAGATTACGATGGGCAAAAGAACACAGACACTGGACAGAGGAAGATTGGAAAAAAGTGTTATGGACAGACGACTCAAAGTTTGAGGTGTTCGGATCACAAAGAAGAACATTTGTGAGACGCAGACCAAATGAAAAGATGCTGGAGGAGTGCTTGATGCCATCTGTCAAGCATGGTGGAGGCAATGTGATGGTCTGGGGGTGCTTTGGTAGTGGTAAAGTGGGAGATTTGTACAGGGTAAAAGGGATGTTGAAGAAGGAAGGCTATCACTCCATTTTGCAACACCATGCCATACCCTGTGGACGGCGCTTGATTGGAGCCAATTTCCTCCTACAACAGGACAATGACCCAAAGCACAGCTAAAAAACTATGCAATAACTATTTAGGGAAGAAGCAGTCAGCTGGTATTCTGTCTATAATGGAGTGGCCAGCACAGTCACCGGATCTCAACCCTATTGATCTGTTGTGGGAGCAGCTTGACCGTATGGTACGTAAGAAGTGCCCATCGAGCCAGTCCAACTTGTGGGAGGTGCTTCAGGAAGCATGGGGTGAAATCTCTTCAGATTACCTCAACAAATTGACAACTAGAATGCCAAAGGTCTGCAAGGCTGTAATTGCTGCAAATTGAGGATTCTTTGACGAAAGCAAAGTTTGAAGGACACAATTATTATTTCAATTAAAAATCATTATTTCTAACCTTGACAATGACTACATTTCCTATTCATTTTGCTATATTTCCTGTTCAAACTCATTTCATGTATGTTTTCGTGGAAAACAAGGAAATTACTAAGTGACCACCCAAACTTTTGAATGGTAGTGTATCTATCTGTAGGCTGTTTACATGACAATACCTGTATATCTACTTGCTACTGTTGGGTAACACTTTATTTGGATAGTCCATCTGTAGATGCTCTACAGACTATCTACAGACTATCAGTAACATTTCAACTAACTATCTACTAACCATAACCCTAGCTCTAACCCTAACGTTAACCCTTACCCTTATTCTAAACCTAACCCTAACAGTAACCTTAGCAAGCAGTCGAACGAATGGGCTGCATTTGGGGTCGGTGGACTCACATGATGTTTGCCAGCACAGCGCAGCCTGAGGTAATGAGCATGATGGTCCCCTCGATCTCATAGTTACCACTGATGAGGCGCTGCACAGCCAGGTAGACCAGCACACCTGTCACCAGCCAGATGGTCACCACCGAGAGAAGAGCACCCAAGATCTCTAGAGGATAGAGGGAGAGGACACACAGGAGAGGAGAGAAATGGAACACATAAGAGACTATAATGATAGAAATGTCATGGACAGATATATTACAGTAAAGAGCTGCAGGAATAGCCATTTGATATTGCCAGCAGTGCCCGGCACAACCATGCAGTGCCAGACGTACCACATAGTGATACCCAAGAAGAAAGGTCTCCAATAAGTGCCAAGACATAAGGTAGCCTAGTTTTACAAAACTCCAGTTGAAAAGTGAACCATTGTCCTATGCACAAATATTCACCTGAAAGGGAATTGATGCATCTAATGGTTTCTGATTTTTTAAGTATGAATTGTCAGGTTCCTATTGTAAAGGATACATAATCACAATGCTAAAACAACCATTAGGTATGCTTTTCTATAAACACATTCAATTACTCCACTTCTACTTATTTGTTCCAGAAAGAGTATAAAGCACACGCATTAAGTGGCTCATTATATTGGGATACATCATGTATTGATTATTGATGAAGATGGTAGTGATGATGAGGATGAGCATATTATGATAATGATGAAGATGAAGGTGATGATGATAAAGATAAATAATGACAATGATGATGATGAGGATCTCACCTGCACGATGCCAGCCGTAGCTGAGTGTGCGTGTGGCGGGTCTGGACGAGAGCCACAGAGACACCAGGCTGATGATGAAGCTGGCGAAGTCTACCAGCAGGTGGGCGGCGTCTGTCATCACCGCCAGACTCCCTGCAAAGTAACCACCTACAGGCAGAGAAAGAGAGAGCGGAGTGAGAGAGAGAGAGAGAGAGAGGAGTGATTGACTAACAACTAACTAACTGACTGTTGACTGACTGACAGACACATTGACACACTGACTAACTAATTGACAGGCTAGTCAATAGTCATGCATCATTTGACCCCTCACCCAGGATCTCTCCGATCATGAAGACCAGGCAGACAGCAGAGACCACGTAGAGCCTCTTCCTGGCCAACTGCTTCTCCCGCTCCCTGTCCTCCATAGCTTGGCTGTTGTCATGGCAGTGCTTGATGTTGCTGTCCTTCTCCATCTGCATTATCTCATCTGTGGACACACTGTGGGGGGAGAAGACAACAGACATATGGATTATCCAAAAAGAAGGAGGAGAGGGGGATGAAAAGGGGACTGGGTGGGAAGACAAAAGAGATGACGTCATGAAATTCGTCCAAGAAGGAGGAGGAGGAGGAGGGGGGACAGAAAGCAGAGACTGAGGTAGAGCCTGTAAGAATAGCTGTCCCTCTCGAGTTGTGCCCAGAAAGACCAGACAAGCGAGATGGATGTCATCAAAGTCGTCCAAGAATTAGGAGGAGGGGGAATGGAAAGAAGAGAGAAAGACTGAGTCAGAGCAGAGTTTGTAAGAAAGGATGTCCCTCTCGAGTTGAGCCCACCTGTTACGATCGTCGTATTGAATAGACCAAGGCGCAGCGTGATGAACGAACATGGTTAACTTTATTATCTTTAGTGATAATAGACAACAATAAACAAAACAAGAAACGACTCGTGAAGTCCACGGTAACAATGACCAACACGGAACAAGAACCCACAAACACAAAGGGAAAACAGACAGTTTAAATATGGCTCCCAATCAGAGACAACCAACGACAGCTGACAGTCGTTGCCTCTGATTGGGAGTCACTCTAGCCAACATAGAAGTAAACACAACTAGAACTACCAACATAGAAATCTAACACATAGAATGAACACACCCTGGCTCAACATATAGAGTCCCAGAGCCAGGGTGTGACAGTACCCCCCCCTAAAGGCGCGGACTGCGACCGCGCCTCAACTTGAACAAAACAGGGGAGGGCTGGGTGGGCATACCTCCTCGGCGGCGGTTCTGGCTCCGGCCTTGCCCACCACCCTCCAATAAACCCCCCATAGCGCCCCTAGTCCAGTCTGGCCCCGCTGGCTGGAGCTGAACTGGACTTAGCAGGAGCGGTTAGCTTCAGCTCCGTAGTGGAGCATCTGACCGGTGCTGGACCAGCAACCGGTGGAACAGACACGGGTTGTGCTGGACTGACGACGCGCACCCCTGGCTTGGTGCGTGGAGGAGGAACGGGCCTTACCAGGCTGACGACGCGCACCCCTGGCTTGGTGCGTGGAGGAGGAACGGGCCTTACCAGGCTGACGACTCGCACCCCTGGCTTGGTGCGTGGAGGAGGAACGGGCCTTACCAGGCTGACGACTCGCACCCCTGGCTTGGTGCGTGGAGCAGGGACAGGCCGGGCTGGGCTGGCGACGCACCCCGTAGGCTTGGTGCGTGGAGCAGGGACAGGCCGGACCGGGCTGGCGACGCACACCGTAGGCTTGGTGCGTGGAGCAGGGACAGGCCGGACTGGGCTGGCGACGCACACCGTAGGCTTGGTGCGTAGAGCAGGGACAGGCCGGACCGGGCTGGCGACGCACACCGTAGGCTTGGTGCGTAGAGAAGGGACAGGCCGAACCGGGCTGTGGAGACGGATAGGAGACCTGGAGTGAAGAGCGGCCACAACCCGTCCTGGCTGAATGCCTACCTTCACACACTCTGTGTGAGGCATCCGCACAGGACGTACAGGGCTGTGTACCCGTACTGGCATAACAGCACGTGACACTGGAGCAGGATATCCGGGACCGCGGAGAGGCATTGGAGACCACGAGCGTTGAGCCGGCACACTCCGTCCTGGCTGCATACCCACCTTCGCACGACACGTGCGGGGTGCTCGCACAGGACGTACAGGACTATGCCGGACCACTCGTGGCACAGTACGCCGCTCCGCATACCGCGGAACCTGCCCCGTCCCATGCTGCCATGCCTGAGTACGGGAAGTTGGTTCCGCTCTCCATCCAGGCTCCGCCAACCTGCCTTCTGGCCCCCCTAACCCGGTGGCCTCCTCTCCAAATCGCCCTGTGGCAGCCTCCTGCTGCCCAGCCGCCCATGCCGTGTGCCCCCCCCTAAAAATGTTCTGGGGTTGCCTCTCGCCTGTCCGACGTTGACACTGCTGACGCCGCTGCTCCTCTCTCGCCAGGGCCTTAAACCTAGCCCATGGCCCTTTTCCCCCGAGCATGTCCTCCCAGGACCACACTTTGCCCACCTGGGCCATCGCCAACCTCTCCATCTCCTTTCCCGGCGCTTCCTCCCATGTCCAGTCTGCCTGCTCCTGGACACGCTGCTTGGTCCTTTTATGGTGGGTTCTTCTGTCACGATCGTCGAACAGAGATGAGGACCAAGGCACAGCGTGATGAACGAACATGGTTAACTTTATTATCTTTAGTGATAATAGACAACAATAAACAAAACAAGAAACGACTCGTGAAGTCCATGGTAACAATGACCAACACGGAACAAGAACCCACAAACACAAAGGGAAAACAGACAGTTTAAATATGGCTCCCAATCAGAGACAACCAACGACAGCTGACACTCGTTGCCTCTGATTGGGAGTCACTCTAGCCAACATAGAAGTAAACACAACTAGAACTACCAACATAGAAATCTAACACATAGAATGAACACACCCTGGCTCAACATATAGAGTCCCAGAGCCAGGGTGTGACACCACCTTAGGTGTGCCGTCACTTATTGTACTCAGCTGCGCATTTGGGCACTTCCACAGCCCAAAACTAATTCTCAGTATCGGCATTCAGGCAGTGGCAAAAAAAATTCTACACATATTGCCATGGGGCAAAGAGAAAAATATGCAGTTTTATAGCTAATCTCATGCTATTCTACACATTTTGCCATGAGGCTGAGAGAAGAAACGCCAGTGCACTCAGGGTGTTTGTTCGTTAACAGTGTAGGTTTAGGTGATTTTTCTCAAAATGTAAATTCTACATCCATAATGTGAATTACATTGTCTGTGATATTAATTACATTGTATGTATTAAGCATGACATACTTATTTTTTAGTAAGATGTTTCTGTCAGTAGTATTTTTAAGTTAGTGAGCATCGTTAAAACTGTAACAATCTTGTATGTTGTGGTTACAAGCCGTAGCATTACCAGTGCCTCAAGTGTTTTTACTGTCTGCCATAAAGTCAACTGTTGACCCTCTCTTTCCAACACCCCAGGGCAAATACTACCCAAATAGAGTCACCAAATACAGTCACCAAATACAGTCAGTGGCATATACAGTCTGCCTCCATTGCAGAGCCTGTTTGGTACATGAAAGGACACCCCTCAGGAAGACCAGGTTGGTAGGGGGCCTTATTAGCGCCAATGTTGACAATTTACATTATTTGGGTTATATCCATAGCTAAGGGCCTTATGAGAGACATACAGTACATTGGTACATTGGGGTCATTGGGGACCTTTATTTCGCTTGTCCATGTACTACTGAACATTGAACCAGTTGCATCTGTTAACTGACTAACTGACTTTGTTCAACCTTGTAGCTCCAGGGCTATCCTTCCTTTAAATCGCCACCCAGGGACCAGATCATGGATGTGATGGGAGAGCAGTGTTGGGGAGTAGTGAGCTACATGTAGTTCAACTAGTAATTTAAATACATTTTGCAGTAGCTTGGCCGTAGTTTAATTTAATTCAAATCTTGGTAGTGTTTTCAGTAGTATATTACTTTTTTGCCATGTAGCAGTCTAGCGAACTACTGGAACTAGACAGTACTTGTTTTTTGCAAAAACAAACATATATATATATGTGTGTGAAGTAGGGCAGAATTTCCTTTCTTTTCCAGCAACAGACCTGCCCAATTCTCACTTGAAACATTTTTTGTCTATGACATTTCAGATTTAGATATGATGGTTTATCACAAAGTAATTTGGATGTAGTGAACTACCTTTTCAAAGTAACTTTAGCAATCAGCAGTAGAAACAATAAAAAAGCGTATTCCCCGCTCCTGTTACGGTAAAAAGCTGAAGGATGGGACTGCAGAAATGTAAACACTCTCAAATTCATAGACAGAAATATGGATGCAAGGACTGATCATCAATGATATCGAAATTATAGTTTTAACCATGATTTGAGGCTATATAGTGTTTGTTTATATTTACTTTGTTTACATTTAATTTGTTTATAAACATTAGAATAAAACAAAAATACAACAAGCTTATATATTGGCCTCCCCGAGTGGCGCAGCTGGCTATGGCACGACATCTCCGTGCTTGAGGCGTCACTACAGACCCCCTGGTTCGATTCCAGGCTGTATCACAACCAGCCGTGATTGAGAGTCCCATAGGGCGGCGCACAATTGGCCCAGCGTCGTCCGGGTTTGACCGGTGTAGGTCGTAATTGTAAATAAGATTTTGTTCTTAACTGACTTGCCTAGTTAAAAAATATATATATCTATATATTGGATTCTGATGGGTTTTGACAGTTGAACTAAGCTCATTAGGAATTTTTAAGTTATATTCTTCAAGAATCAGTGGGTACATATCATAAATGTATGTCCAAAAATGTAGGTATCAACTACTGATTGCCCCTTTAAGTAAACTATATTTTTCTTAAGGGTAGCTTTACTTCTTCCAGTGTTAAGTAATTGGTCAACTACAGTATATTTTCAGAGTAGCTTCCCCAACACTTTGGGAGAGAGTTAACGCCACATTTGGTGTGGATGCTATGAAATAACTAAATATACCGTGCACTCTAAGCATGACAATTAGGCCTAAATTAAGTTTAACATCGGAGGCAGAAGGAGCGTGAACTTCTAAAATTGGAACCCGTGCGCAAAAAGCTTTTTACGCAAGACTGGAGCGAGGGTAATAGGCTATTTTAGATGATCAAAAAACGACGTTTTATTCTATAAATCAAAAATAGCAATTCAAATAAAATGTCAACGAAACTCACCATGGGCGCTCAACACCCTTGACATCATCCAACATTTATTTTCCAACGTCACAAGTTTCAAGAGAAGGGGATTCTCGTGTTCTCGACCGTCCAACTTTGTGCACCGCTACAGCTAGCACAGAACTAGACCCGTGTGTAACATATTGTTGGCTATAACCCACCCAGCCTAGCAGGAGCCCAGGCTGAGCTTGAGTACAGAGAACGCCTAAAAAGGTGAACTCAAGGCTGTCTGCTGTATATAAAACATTATAAAACAAACTGTCACGTTAAACTGACTAAAATAAATGTGACTGCGTATGAAATGTGAGAACTAGGCCTAATCATTCATTAGCACAATAAAATAATAATATCGTCCTAATCATGTGCATTTGCTTCAAGTGAGAGAAACAACAACTCATCCTCAAGTTGCTCAACTTGTTTACAGATATCATAAATGTAAATGACAACATTGAAAACAACTGCCTGACACATTCAGACAATAAATGAACGGGCTACTTTACCTTCCCATGGTGATGCTATACATGGTGCCTTTCTCTGTGACCAGTTGAGTTTTCTCTGGATCCTTTCTGAACATGATTTCGTGCTTCAGGGACGACAGTAAACAATATAAAACTGGTTACACTATTAGCCCCCAGCCAATATATTTAGACGGAGAAATTAAAACAGAAAAATAAAAAATAATACAAACACTCAAAAAATATATATTTTTAAATGGACTAATGTAAAACATATATTTCCAGTGTTATCATCTAAATAGATCTCCTCTCACAAAAGAGGATACGTTTAATGCATCATTGTTTGAGTGACTATGCAAGCAGTGTTAGTATTTGAAGCCTTGTTACCACGCACCGTGTGCAAATTTAGCCGCTTGCAGCACCTTTGGGCAAAAGTTTCTTATTCAGGGAGAGGGTGGGAATTTGAATAAGAGAGCCTCTGTTTCAAAAAGGAAAGATTCCGTAAGATAAGGGTAGCTTCTAATCTTAGGAATGTAGGCCGCCCAAGTTGAACATAAAGAAAAATATGGATTACAACCGAATCCTCAACTTTTGCATGTTGGTCGCATTTACATACCTACAAATTGACTGCAAGAAGCCCAAACATTTTTAAAAGATGGACTAAAACATAATCATTTCAAACCTTGCTCAGATTGATATATGCTCACATACACTGAGTGGCCAGTTTAGTAGGTACACCACCCCATTCACGAAAATGGTCACTCTCCAGTTTAGCTGAGATCATTCTGTTCCTACTGTCTACACCTACTGTCACTGATGGCTGGCTATCTCACTGGCTACTGTAATTCCATCTGACATTTTTCCTGTCAGAGGGGGTTCGCTCCTACAAACAGTGAGTCAGGTGACCGTGGCTTGCGATATAAAGCAGGCAGACAGGCATCGAGGCATTCAGTTACTGTTCGATTGAACGTTAGAATGGGCAACACAAGTGACCTAAGCGACTTGGCATGATCATCGGTGCCCGACGCGCCGGTTCCAGTATCTCAGAAGCGTCCGGCCTCCTGGGCTTTTCACGCAGGACAGTGTCTAGGTTTTACTGAGAATGGTGCGACAAACAAAAAACATCCAGTCAGCAGCAGTTCTGTGGGCGAAAACAGTTAGTTGATGAGAGAGGTCGAAGGAAAATGGCAAGAATCGTGCAAGCTAATAGGCAAATAACGCCACAGTACAACGTGTGCAGAACACGCATCTCGGAACGCAGAACTCGTCGGTCCTTGTCACGGATGGGCTATTGCAGCAGACGACCACACCGTGTTCCTCTCCTATAAACTCTAAACAAGAAGATGCCGCTGCAGTGTGCACCAGATCACCAAAACTGGACAATTGAGGGTTGGAAAAACATTGCCTGGTCTGACGAATATCGGTTTCTGTTGCGTCATGCTGATAGCAGTCAGAATTTGCTGTAAGCAGTATGAGTCTATGGCCCCATCCTGCCTGGTGTCAATGGTACAGGCTGGTGGCGGTGGTGTAATGGTGTGGGGAATGTTTTTCTGGCACATGTTAGGTCCCTTGATACCAATTGAGAAACATTTGAACGTCACACCTTGTAGAATCTATGCCCTGAAGAATTCAGGATGTTCTGGAGGCAAAGGGGGGTCTAACCCAGTCCTAGATGAGTGTAACTAATAAAACTGGCCACTGAGTGTATATCTCTCTTATGCGTGGGAATACTTTGGAACAGATTTCCAAAATTAAAATCACTTGGAGTTGATTTGCTGGTGTTTTTTTATTTTTATTTGCAACAATAAAAACTTAAATAAAGTCAACTTGGGGGGCCAAATGGGGCCCCCTGTTGGGGAACCCTGGTATACTGTATAAATGTTGTAAACATGTGACATAACAGCTCGTTATGTAGGGTGCATTGCCAAATGTGACATAAACCACTGTGTCAATACCCTCAAAAAGCTGTGCAGGGAAACTGAACTCCGTCTTACCTCATTTTTACCAGCATGTCACCTGTGCAACTAGAGGTGAAAAATACTCTAGATCACCTTTACTCCACACACAGAAATGCATTCGAAGCTCTCCCTCACCCTCCATTTGGCAAATCTGACCATAATTATCTCTGTCCTCCTGATTCCTGCTTACAAGCAAAAACTCAAACAGTAACTACCAGTGACGCGCTTAATACAGAAGTGGTCCGATTAAGCAGATGCTAAGCTACAGAAGCGTTTCGCTAGCACAGACTGGAATATGTTCCGCGATTCATCCAATAACAATGAGGAGTTTACCACATCAGTCACTGGATTCGTTAATAAGTGCATCGACGACTTCGTCCTCACAGTGACCGTACGTACATATCCCAACCAGAAGCCATGGATTACAAGCAACATCTGCACTGATCTAAAGGCTAGAGCTGCCTCTTTCAAAGAGCAAGACACTAATCCGGACACTTATAAGAAATTCCGCTACGACCTCCGACGTCAATACAGGACTAAGATTGAATCTTACTATGCTGGCTCTGAAGCTCGTTGGATGTGGCAGGGCTTGCAAAATATCACGGATTACAAAGGAAAACCCAGCCTCGAGCTGCCCAGTAACGAAAGCCTAGCAGACAAGCAAAATTCCTTCTATGTTAGCTTCGAGGAACGCAACACTGAACCATGCATGAGGGCACCAGCTGTTCCGGACGACTGTGTGATCTCGCTCTCCGTAGCTGATGTGAGTAAGACCTTTAAACAAGTTAACATTTACAAGGCAGCGGGGCCAGACGGATTACCAGGATGCGTACTTAGAGCATGCGCTGACCAGCTAGCAAGTGTCTTCACTGACATTTTCAACCTCTCCCTGACCCAGTCTGTAATACCTACATGTTTCAAGAAGGCCTCCATAGTAACTGTGCTCAAGAACGCCAATGTAACCTGTCTAAATGACTATCGCCCTGTAGCACTCACATCTGTAGCCATGAAATGCTTTGAAAGGCTGGCATGGCTCACATCAATACCATCATCCCAGATACCCTGGACCCACTCCAATTCGCATACTGCCCCAACATATCCACAGGTGCCGCAATCTCTATTGCACTCCACACTGTCCTTTCCCACCTGGACAAGAAGAACACCTACGTGAGAATGCTGTTCATAGACTATACAGTTGGGAGAACATGTATTTGATACACTGCCGATTTTGCAGGTTTTCCTACTTACAAAGCATGTAGAGGTCTGTAATTTTTATCATAGGTACACTTCAACTGTGAGAGACGGAATCTAAAACAAAATTCCAGAAAATCACATTGTATGATTTTTAAGTAATTAATTAGCATTTTATTGCATGACATAAGTATTTGATACATCAGAAAAGCAGAACTTAATATTTGGTACAGAAACCTTTGTTTACAATTACAGAGATCATACGTTTTCTGTAGGTCTTGACCAGGTTTGCACACACTGCAGCAGGGATTTTGGCCCACTCCTCCATACAGACCTTCTCCAGATCCTTCAGGTTTCGGGGCTGTCGCTGGGCAATACGGACTTTCAGCTCCCTCCAAAGATTTTCTATTGGGTTCAGGTCTAGAGACTGGCTAGGCCACTCCAGGACCTTGAGATGCTTCTTACGGAGCCACTCCTTAGTTGCCCTGGCTGTGTGTTTTGGGTCGTTGTCATGCTGGAAGACCCAGCCACGACCCATCTTCAATGCTCTTACTGAGGGAAGGAGGTTGTTGGCCAAGATCTCGCGATACATGGCCCCATCCATCCTCCCCTCAATACGGTGCAGTCGTCCTGTCCCCTTTGCAGAGAAGCATCCCCAAAGAATGATGTTTCCACCTCCATGCTTCACGGTTGGGATGGTGTTCTTGGGGTTGTACTCATCCTTCTTCTTCCTCCAAACACGGCGAGTGGAGTTTAGACCAAAAAGCTCAATTTTTGTCTCATCAGACCACATGACCTTCTCCCATTCCTCCTCTGGATCATCCAGATGGTCATTGGCAAACTTCAGACGGGCCTGGACATGCGCTGGCTTGAGCAGGGGGACCTTGCGTGCACTGCAGGATTTTAATCCATGACGGCGTAGTGTATTACTAATGGTTTTCTTTGAGACTGTGGTCCCAGCTCTCTTCAGGTCATTGACCAGGTCCTGCCGTGTAGTTCTGGGCTGATCCCTCACCTTCCTCATGATCATTGATGCCCCACGAGGTGAGATCTTGCATGGAGCCCCAGACCGAGGGTGATTGACCGTCATCTTGAACTTCTTCCATTTTCTAATAATTGCGCCAACAGTTGTTGCCTTCTCACCAAGCTGCTTGCCTATTGTCCTGTAGCCCATCCCAGCCTTGTGCAGGTCTACAATTTTATCCCTGATGTCCTTACACAGCTCTCTGGTCTTGGCCATTGTGGAGAGGTTGGAGTCTGTTTGATTGAGTGTGTGGACAGGTGTCTTTTATACAGGTAATGTGTTCAAACAGGTGCAGTTAATACAGATAATGAGTGGAGAACAGGCGGGCTTCTTAAAGAAAAACTAACAGGTCTGTGAGAGACGGAATTCTTACTGGTTGGTAGGTGATCAAATACTTATGTCATGCAATAAAATGCAAATTAATTACTTAAAAATCATACAATGTGATTTTCTGGATTTTTGTTTTAGATTCCGTCTCTCACAGTTGAAGTGTACATATGATAAAAATTGCAGACCTCTACATGCTTTGTAAGTAGGAAAACCTGCAAAATCGGCAGTGTATCAAATACTTGTTCTCCCCACTGTATATCTCAGCGTTCAACACCATAGTGCCCTCCAAGCTCACTAAGCTCAGGACCCTGGGACTGAACACCTCCCTCTGCAACTGGATCCTGGATTTCCTGATGGGCCACCCCCAGGTGGTGAGGATAGGCAACAACACATCCGCCATGCTGATCCTCAACACAGGGGCCCCTTAGGGCTGCGTGGCTGTGCACAACTCCAACACCATCATTAAGTTTGCTGTTGACACGACGGTGGTTGGCCTGATCACCGACGACGATGAGACAGGCTATAGGGAGGAGGTCAGTGACCTGGCAGTGTGGTCAGCAAGACAACGGAGCTGATCGTGGACTACAGGAAAAGGAGGACTGAGCACGCCCCCATCCACATTGACGGGGCTGTTGTGGAGTGGGTCGA